GCGTACGGAGACCTCCGGAGCACTCGCGGTTCCCGCGGACGAATTTCAGGGTAGAAATCGCGAGCAGCGCGTTGCACACCGCGAGGGAGTAGTTGGAGGTGCCGCTTGGCTGGCGGTGGTGCGCGGCGCCATGACAGTGTTGGCTCCTCTGCTACCACCCCCACCAAACATCCCCCACTCGGCTGCTCGCACGACCCCTCTTTCGCCTATGAATCCCCCACGGGACCCCTCGACACCCCGCCCGCCCGACTTCTGCCTCCTCCGCGGCCGCGGATCCGTTCCATTCGCCCCGTCCTGCCTCGTATTTCGCCCCCTCCCTTCAACCCCTTGCGTCCTGCGCCATGGCTCGTGCTGCCTCGGCCCCACCAACGCAATATTGATCGGGCGGAAGGGCGGCATCCAAGCTCGTAACGACTTCCAGAGGTGCCCTGGCCGCGTCCCTCGTGTCATACGCCACCCTTTTTTTACCCATTTTCTCTTCTTCGTCCCCCTTGGACGGTTCTTCGTTTCTTTTTTTAACCCCCCCGCGACCCCCTCCCCCAGGGTGCCCACCGTAAGGGATTTCTCGCGTTTCCGTCCCCTCCTCCTCGCGAAACAGATTCTTCCGGGCTGTGTTCCTCTCTTTTTTTCACTCACTCTCTCTCTCTCTGTCTTTTTTTTCGCCTCCTGGCGAACCGTGTCTCCGGGCGACAGATTTTTTTCTCGCCTCGGACCACCCCGCACGTGGATCGTCGCGTGCCCCGAGTCGAAATCGTCTCGCGGGCCGTGCACGTACCCGGCTACGGGCTTGAATCCGTTTACCCGTCTTCCGCGAGTTGCTCCGCTGCTTTCGTTAGACAAACAGATAACGGCGGTTTCGCGGAGCTTCCATTATAATTTGATTTAATCCCTTCTGGCTTGACGGAGGCTACGACGAACGGGGTTTTCAACGTTCGCGACCGTTTCGGGGTAATCGAATGTCCGGTCGCGTGGCTTGGCTAGCCCGGGGGACAAAGCTTTCTCGACATTGTGCAAGGGTCCCTGTATGCTGGGCTACCTACTTCTCCTCGTACAAAGAAAACCCCAAAATCGAGGAAGGCCTCGTTTACGTTCCCGCTTTAGTGCACGCATATTCAGAATTTTTTCGTTTAAAGCACTTAAAAAATAATGAACTAACGGAGGATTAAGGGTTTCTCCTATGTTTATTTGATAAATTATATCCACTTATATCGTAAATGGAAGTAGCGTGGCTGGTAAGGCATCTGCATGGTAACAGGACGAGCGTGGGATCGAGTCCTGTCGATGAAACTATATTCTAAAATACTTTTTTCTCTGATATCGTAGAATTTAACTTTCTTCGGTACTTCGACCATAGATAATTCGCCATAGGTAGGAATCGATAGTTGCAAAATGTAATTGGCGTGGAACAAAGGAGCAGTTTTCGACGGCCAGTTCGCGTTTGAGCGTAATTCACAGCACCTCGCGAGCGCGCACATAAGCTAAAACCGATTGACCTTTTCGCGCTCTGTAATGGGAATATCCATTGTTACCCGTTTCGATGTTGCGCGAGCTGGATCCGCAAAAGGGTTGATTTCGAGTGGAAACGCCGCGCGGATTAATTGTTTAAAGAATTCATTTCGAAAGCGTGACAGCGACGGGGCTGGACGTTTAAAGGGTTGAACGCGGTATCGAGAAGGTGGGCGGAGAGATGGGTAAAAGGATCCGTAGAAACGGAAAGTTGTTTATCCTTGCCTGGAAGGTACACCGTAAAAAGCCCCCGCGTTACTTGGCTGGAATACTTTCGTCCGAGCATCAGCCGCAAAGGAATGCCCCGAACGAAGCTCCGGGGCCAAGCGGCGTGTAAAATTTAATTAACCACGCACTGGTTCCCGCGCGGCGAAAGCAAGGATGCCCCGGTCTTAATTTATTCATCCTCCGCGGGACCATCGCTCGCAACGCGAAAGGTCGTCCCGCGGACGCTGGAACCAACCTATTCCGCTCGAACGAGGCGTCCTCCCGAGCCAAAATTCTCCAAATCGCATACGAAGGGCCAAATTACAATTCTGGAGAATATTAAATTACCAAAAGATACGAAAGAGCGTGGTGTTTCTCTCTGTGAATAACAAGGTACTGGAAACGCTTTGTCGATGAGAACTCGACGCGATTTTAACCATGTCTGTTCAAGACCAATGGCTCTCAAAACAAATACTACCGCCTTCGACCGCGTCGTGGCTCGCACGAAGCCCCACGACGCGGTCGATTTCGAATTAACATGCATCTATGCATGTATGCGCACCGTCATTAATAATTCAGCCACGCGACTTTTCGCAAGATCAAAGGGACCGCCGAAATTTCACGGTCCATCGTGCCGCGAGCGTTAACGAACGTCTGTAGCTCGTCTCGGTTGTCCTCCAAATGCTCGCTAAAGGGACCACATCGAGACAGGTACAATTTAAAGTACTCGGACGCTCCTGCTTAAACTTTCGGACCACGGGACGCTTATCGTATCGTCTAATAGAATGCTCGAGTCGCGAGAAACGTTCGTATAACGGTTATTAACAGTTACTTCCGTAACCTTTTTCGACCCCGGACGCCGCGTGGCTCGCGAGTATCGCTCGTCGAAAAGTTTCCTCCCCCGATACCGGTCGCGTCCCATCGACGTCCGTTGGAATTGTCTCGAGCCACTCCCGGAGAATGGAAAAGTTTTCGGCGGGGTCGAGAAAATTTCGCGTCTCGTTGGCTCTTTCGTTATCTGCCGCGCGGTACGAAAGTTCGCGATTATCGCGCGACCGTGCATTTCCATGGAATCCCCGCGTCGTGAACGGAAACTCTGATTATTTTCAGCCTGGCCAAAGTGGGGGCTCGGAGGTCTTTGACGAACGTTCGCTAAAATATGTTGCTACTCGAGGAAGAGGGAGAAGAATTTATTGCATACGAGGGTTGATTGATAACTGAGGATTTTAGGCCTATAGAGCATACGAAGGATACACAAATACCAGTTTAATTCTTGCTTTTCAAGAATAAATTTTGCGTACAAGTATCGTTTGTTTAACGCCGACCTACAATTCGCATGGTTTAAGTCGCGTCGCGACGCGCAGGAAGTAAAATAATTAATTTGAATGGCCACGGAACCGTAGTCTGTCGTCCCTTATCAACATTTTCGAGTCGCTGGAAATGCAAAACCTTTTGTGCCGCGAAACAGAGATAAATGTACTTAGACCGGTTCCGTAACAGACACATCTAGCATGTGTAAACGTAACGCTTGTTACAAACTCCACGCGTAATAACCGTTATTACCTTTTCTGAACGTCCTGTACAGATTAAGCCCACAGTGGCGATTGTGTTATTCCGTCTGACACACGCGGCAGAGCGAGTACCACGGGAGAAACGAGACAAACGCGATAAAAGGACGAGGATACGTGCCGCATAATAGATAATAACGAGATACGATGCATCGTTGGTTCGGGGGAGGAAGGGAGGAGGGAGGGGGGTAGCTTTTGACACCTGATCCCCTTCCATTCTCGGCAGACACAATGAGCCCTGTTAAGCAAGAACAGTTCAACCCTCGAGACCCGCGTAAGCTCAGCTTTTGTCTGGCTCGCGACGAAACGAGTGCCTCCCCTAAATAATACCGAACACGCTTCCATTCGCTCTTCGCGTTCCTACGTTCCGTCAAATGCAATATTGCTCGATTTCAAAATTATTGAAACCGTCTCACCCCCTTCGAACAACTCAAACTCCCCCTGTGTAGATTTCCAGCGAAATAAGCATTTCGAAACGAATGTTGTTTTGTTTGAGATACCAAAAAGAAATACGAAAGTTCAACGAGGAAAATGTTTTTCCAGTTGATTCGCTGAATCGGAAGATTAGGCTGTCGTTAACGTTGCAAACACTCGAGGACCTGTTCGTCCCCTGAAACAATACAAAACGCAGGGACACGGTGAACGGATGAATAATTCATTTACACATGTTCGAGTATGAATAAAATATTCGGAAACGGACACAAGTTGAAACTTTGCAGCGATTTGCGAAGCGCGGTGCGATTCCGGTTGCCCGTCGGTTATGTGAGGGGAACAGGAGGTGGAAAAAAAGGTATGGTGGGCGTCGAAGTCGCGCGAAAGGGGGAGGCTGAAAGGGACGAGAGACGACAAAGAGCGACGTTAACGGAAGTTCGGTTAATTCTGGATACGGGATTCTCGTTTCGGTCGGTTATCGAGCAGGAAGATCCGTGATTCACCGCCTCCGAAACGCACAGGATCCTTCGCCACCCCTAAATAACGAGCGGACGCATTGTTCGAAGTGGTATCTAACGGCGTGCAGAGAAACCTCGTAAAAACCGTCGCGCTCATGCATATGCAAGAGTCGCGAATTTATGCGGGCGTTCGTCCCGTATCTTTATTCAGATTTCAACCGCGGGGTATCTTTTATTTGTCTCGAAACGGAGGAAAAATATAAACGAATACCGACGTAACGCGCTCGAAATACGGGACCTCGATAAAAGGACCGGCGCGAACCCGGCTGAAAACTACGGGTCGAGTTCGCGGGATTATTCCGGCAATTCCCCTCGAGATGCAATTTTTACCTCTCCTATGACGGAATCGTTCGCGCCATTCTTTACGTTTACGATAATCCCTCGATGCACCGCTGGTGGCTCTTACGAGGGAAGGGTACAAATACGATTGATCAATTTTGGGCCTGGCTGTCGATCGAAGGTGAATAAGGGAATGTTACATTTTGGAATCTGGGACCACAACCATTGAAACTCATACAATAAACTTTTCTGTTGATTTGTTTCGCTTTTGAGACCCCATTGGATCTAACGAGAGCGAGAGAGACGGAGCACTGATGATCGAATGTCGCATTAGCGTTATAAAATGATGTGAATGCTCCGTTCATAGCGAAGAGTGAAAATACACTGGCTTCCGTTGAAAACGAGGCGAGGACTCTGCCAGAAATAATTTCAAATGGAGTTAATTTTTATCGAGCGCACGGTTCGACGATGGTTATTAAGGGAAACTTACTCTTCGAATGTGTTCGCTCGGATCCAGAGAGACGCCTTGGGGATCTGAAACAAGAAGAAACAACGGTTAGTTTCGGCGGGGACGGGGTAGATACGATAGCAGGAGAGGACGCTGGAACTTTTGCAATTTACAGCTCGGAAAATTCCCGTAAGAGCGATCGCGTGACCGAAAGGCGAACCGGCTCGAGGTCGCCGGAAGCAGCCTAGCACGAAGAGCCACCGGACAGAGTTGCTTTCGGTGCCCTGATTGAGAGGGCGGAGCTGGAAACGTCCACGCGGGACGCAAAAATACCCGGGAACGTTGTTAACAAACGTTAGGAAGCGGATCTGAGACAATAATCGGTAACAGAGACGTTTCACAGTTTCGAGTTTCGAGTTTCCCGCGGAAATCTAGACTCACGAGGGTTGTAAGCTAGTTACTTTTTTTTGGGGGGGGGGGGGCACGAAAGGCAAATTTTATTATTTATTCTTCGTAGGAACGAATCTGGAAAGCGACACGAAACAAAGTTACGTAGACCAACACGTACCATCCAGGAAGCCAAACTTTAATATTCCATTAAATTTAATAAAATTATTTAATATTCTATCACGTTTAATAGAACTGTGTAACATTCCATTAAATTTATCAGAATTATTCAATGTCCTATTAAACGTAGCGAAATCGTTTAATATAAATTCGTAGAATGCTCGATGCTGAACAAAAATTTAATTTCGAACAAAGTTAATTGAAATTTAAATATTAACACTGTTCCTGCTAAAGATGGGAGAATCGAATGACCCTCCGACCCACAAAAATCGTGGTAGAAACAGTGTTAATTTGCAACATTAAGAAAAAGAAGATTCGAAGATGTGAACGCGGAAAAGATTAAAATGAGATACTCGGTGTAGTAATTTCTGCTCTTTTGTTTCTCCTATCGGCAAATGACACCCGCACACACATGTGGGACAACTGAAACTGCGTTCGCGAAAGTCTCCCGGCTCTCCGGAGACTTCGGAAATCCTATTGTATCCGGGTTTAATCGAGGAGCGACGTCGAGCTCCATCAAGACATCTTACTCCAATCAGAAGGAGATAATAGGGGCCGAGCGGAAGACCGTCGGACCGATCTCTCGTAATCGACGACTAAGGATAACCGAACCGGAGGAATTTCTTGCCAGCGACCATCGACTCGAACGGCGGCCATCCAAGGGACAACGATCGAAGATGGCCATTTTTGGTTTGATTTTCCAATAGATAGCAACCACCGTGAATTTGTAACCTCCCATCGAAATAAACTTCCCTTAAAGCTAATCCTTTCCGTCCTCCGACAAAGTAAATAGTCTAATTTCCTTTTATCTCGCAAAGAAGAACTCCATCGTTGTTTATCAAAGCAAATAATATTATATTTCCTCGTATACTCGATGGGAAAAATATACAATAAATATGCTCAGATTAGTACATCGTTGGAATTTGATCATTTACCTTCGGTCAATATAAAATAGAGTCCAAGGTAACCGCGACGTAGGATCGAAAAGATTAAATTATGACCGCTTTCGAAGATTTTTCTCGCTTACCACGAACGAAGAAGTCTTCGACCGGGATTACAACGATCCTCCCAGCTTTCATCTCGCGCACAACCGTGAAATCTGACTTTCAAATCGTTCTTACGTAACGCGACTCAAATTCGAAGACGTATGTCCGCCCGTTGCGGAAATCGCTCGCTTAACCGCGGACCAGATTCTTTTCTCGCGGAACGTCATAGATATAAAAAGAACGGGGCGAATTATTCAGACGTTAGGGTGTCCCAGAAAATATCACACATCTCACTCACTTTATATTATTCTTAAACTATCGATACAATGTTAGAACTCTCGTCACAATTTAATTCCATAGAAGCGTATTACGATAAGATGCAACGTACCGGTGAAGTCGACCTTTTGTTTACCTTTTCGAAAGTCGGACCACAAAACGATGCAATCCGTCGAGCAGCAGGACTTTTTCATTAACACGAAATCGTCGTTCGTAGCGGCCATCGTTATTCGCGTGGCCGTAGATTATCCACTCGAATTCGCCCGCTGCGTTTCCTAGGAAATTGGGTTGGTTGACATTAATGCGATGTTCGCGGCTCAACCACCCGGGCAGTTCCGTCGCAGAGATGCGTTTCCGCGAGGACGACTACCAACCATAAATTGCTAAATACCCGCACTTAAAACGAGCCAGCCACTGGCCGCGGAAGGAAGAGAGATATACCGTGTTCCTACGAAAATCCACTGGTACAATATTATCAACGTAAACGCGTCTTCCCGGAAGACAATTTATCGTATACACTCTTTAGGATCTTTCTTTAACACCGTAGTCACAGATATCCTATTTAAAATAAGCAAAATAGATCGAAATGAACCTGTTAGCATGATGATTCTAGAAGGAAGCTCGCACATTCTGGCTCGACGTTGTTTGGAAAGACGATGGGACGAAGGACGTGTTTACTGGCAGAGTTCTAACCTAGAGGTACGTGGCGCACAACTCGATGTAAACAACACAGCGAGCAACGTATTACTAAAGCGATAATCTGCCGTCTTGAGTGCTACCTGAAGAAGCCACCAGCCAATCAGAAAATTCCTTTTTCTTTACTGGCGCGCTGCTATCTCCGTAACCAAGATGGCTGACAGTTCGAGTTTGAAACAGATTACGAATTGCTGGATTCGATGAACCGTGATTAAATCGTGAAAAATGAAAACGTAACTTGCCTAATGAAGTATCAATTCAGAATGTCGGACTCTAATAATACTCGATTAATAATGGGGGGAGCGGGGGGATAGTCGAAGAGGCTCGTTAGTGGTTTTATTGGCGGAGGACCATTGGATAAGGTCGAAAATAAGTAGGCTCGATCGACCCTCGCGTCTACCGATCGGTATAAAATCGTTATAAATAAATGTCTATTTGCGTGAAAAGACGCGGTTTATATATACACGCGTATGGATCGATAGTTTCGCAGAGTTTAATATAAATGTCGTGGCAGTATTTTCTGCTCACGCGAGTGAGACGGGGAGGGCGGGAGGAGCGAGTCCTCGACCTCTTAGGAACGAGCACGGCAAAGCACGGTACACTCTCTGCCGTGCACCGAATAAATACGACTACGCCGATATCCGCCAATAAAATACGACGTACCATAAATCTACATAAAGCTGTAATGATTGAGAACCGAACGGCGACGCGGTCTGAATCGACCGGTGTATGAAACATTAAGGGTACGTCTCACGAATTGCCATCGTTAAAGCATTAGGCAAACATCCGGCGTAATTTACCCCGAGGAAGGGAATCTCGCGACCTTTTCCCGGGGACGAATCCGTGGGACCATCAATCCGCTCGCAAGCCGGAGTTCTATTAAAAATAAACAGATTTCTCGCGGTACCCACCCCCTACGCGACGTCCGCCATTAATTCACCTCCCTGTAAGAACGCAGTTCCGAGGTCGTTTGCATCTTTCCCTCCAGCTGTCGATTCTGCCCCGACTCTCGTCTCTTTTCTCGCTCCCGGGCTACCAGACAAGGTAAATACCACCGACCACCCTCCACGACGATTAAATGGCTCCCTACCGGAGGACACGACAAGTCGAAATTCCCCCCCTTCGAGCTATTCGATGGGAAACGCCGTCAGCGAGGAAGGGTTAACCCCGATCGAGCCGGAAAACTGCGACTCCGGAATCTAATCGGCCATTTTAAGCTTAGGACTGGCTTCGACTTCGTAATCCGTTAGCTTTGGAATCGTGGACCCACGGTTTCTTACAAAAACGAAGGGACGACGAGTAGATTCGTAAATTTGTATTAAATTATATATGGGCTTATTCAAATCGAGTGCCACTTTGTTATATTTCACGCTGCACTGTGCAACAACGTTGAAAATGATCAATGATAGCCAGAATTTTTTATAAAAAGAAACACAAGGAAGGTCGGAGACTTTTAAGCGTGGAATCTTAAAACAATGGGCGAAGCGAGAGATAATATTGGGAATGGAAGGCTGCAAATTCGAATTTAATCGTTTGCTCCCGTGGAAAGTGTCTCCGAGGGGCGACGATTCCAGTGATTGCGCTCATTTCCAACAATCGTGAGACCGGCTACGAAACGCGGCGCGGAAAGATTCGACAGTTCTTGCTTCCCGAAAAGCTCCCTCGATTGTCGTCGGTTTTTATCGACTGCGTTCGATTCCCGACTTCCCTCGCGGCCGAAATTAAACGGTCTGGGGTCGCGAGAAGCTCCTCGTCCAGAAAATTGTTAGAGGGATCGAGACGTATCGTCGACTTTAACGCTGGAAACACTAAGTGATTTCTTGACAAGTTACGTTCTCATAGAATGTTTTCCACTATTTTTGCTGATCGCCTCCCTCAATTTTATTCAATTTTTCGCTGAGCATCAACAAGTATATCGACCGATGTCAAAGAAGAAAATTTTTTAAAGAGGAGGCGCGTGTTTTGAACGCTCCAATGAGGAATAAGCACGCGAGCCATCGTGTTCGTCGAATCGCGGCGAGCAGATCCGATTATCGGCGACAGGTCCACGGAATCCGCTCCAGCGTGGTCGAAAATGTAACGACCAGTGTCGCGGCTCATAATCTGTTGATCGACAATAACCTGAACAAGGCTCAGAAAATTCACGAACCCTTCCATATTCCCCCATCGCGATCCTGAAAAACGTACTAAAGGATCCGGAGTCTCTAGCGCATCGATTGCAAGTTTTCAGCGATCGAATCGAGGTGAAAAAAACGCAAATTCAGGCGTCGAGGGGGACACGAGCCACGACTTGGCCCAGCAGAGCCGTTTTGCGGGGAATAGGTGCTCGATAAGGGCAAATGTTTGGGAAAAGCAACGTCTCCGACGACGGGTACTCTCGCTTCGGGAGACAGCGTCCGCTTGACCGCTCCCAGTTTCGAGAAGATCAATAGCAAAAGTCGCAACGCGAACCGGCCGGGTTTGCTTCAGAATTCCGTGGAAGACCCTCTTCCTCTCTCAGGTTCCTCCTGCATCGTTCAAAGATACAGGGAGTCGATCGAGTCGGAAGCGGTCGACCGCTA